GATTCCAAATTTGAGTTCAGCCTGGGAAATTTAGTTTGACTCCATGTTCAAAAAATAGGAGGGCTGTGTATGAAGTTCAGGGACAAGGCACCCTGGGTTCAAACTCCAGCACCACTAGAGAGATGATAGATGGTAGATAAGTAGACAGGTAGAAGATAGATGAGCAAAGGATAAAGACAAATAGATAATTGAAAGTGTATTCCCTTCATTGCTGTACGTCAAACTTATACTTGTGGTCAGGGCGACTGTTCCATGGACGAAGGGTGGAGTGTTGTGGTAGAATCCACAACTCATTCTTACAACAGCATTCTAGCAAAGATAGGGTATCACAGAGACAGTGGCAAGACCATCCCTCCTGTTGTTCCAGAAGTGGTGAACGTTTATAGAAAGGAGCCCCGGATGGAGAAGGAAAAGGGTTATGTCAGATGTGGATGTTTCTATGGTGGCAGAGGCAACTTCCATCCTAATACGGACCCTCTCCAAAGGAGCATCTCATTGGAACTCATGAACAAGTCGGCATGGCTGGTGGAGGGAGCAGCGGGAGCCTGGAATGTCCTGGGCTAGGATCTGGACCCCAGGTCAGAGTACTGGCAGCCTCAAGCTGCTCCATGTCCTCCACCTACAAACAGTATGTGATTAGGGCTGGGCACGGAGTAGAAACCTCGATCAGCACTAGTTATTATCATTCTCCTTGGTTATTTGTTGAGCAAAAATAGGCAGATTTCAGCTAGAAATGCTGAAATACTATGTGCCAATAGCCTTGGTGCCTGACTGAAATCCCAGCACTCTGCAGGGGGCGGAGGCAGGAGGATTGTGAGTTTGAGCCCTGCCTGGGCATCTTAGTGACTAGTCAGACTTTGCCTGTAAAAATAAAAACAGAGCTGAGGTTGTTGCTCAAGGGAAAGACCCGAGGTTCTATCCCCAGTACTGAGGAAAAAAAAAAAAAAAAAAAGATTTCAATCATCTCACTTTTCAACATGTGTCTCCCTAGAGAACTTCTGTGAATATTATCTTAACTGTTAGAGAAATTTAGGGAAACAAAGAGTAGGATTAGAAAATTCCTGTCAAAACAGAAAATATTTTTGAAATGTGACCTTGATGTTTAAGACTATAAACTTGAATCCAATAAAAAGTATTTTCTTTTGATTGCAAAGGAGCCTTTAAGACTATATTCTGTTATTTGTCTGGACCAAAAATCCACACCCAATAAAGGGAAATGGTAAGGGATGGAAAATTTGAGAAAAGGCAACCTTGTAGTATTTTTATATAATAAAAGGTTTTTGTTATTTGTTTTACTTTTTCTGGGGACCAAGCTTTTTAGAAAACGCTCCATTCTAGTGGCCCCAGGAGTCAGGATTGCTTTGAAAGATTTAGATAGATGATAGACAGATGAATGATAGACCGATGATAAATAGATGATAGGTAGATGATAGATAAATGATAGATGTTAGACAGAGAAAGATAAAAGAAAGAGAAAGAGAGAAAGAAGAGGATTCAAAGGCAAGCACTGGTAAGCTGGAGCCAGAGTGAAGGACAAAAGTTCTAGTTCCTAGAAACCCGGAGTTACTGCTGCTCTGCCTCTGGCTACAAGATACCGCCATGATTCCCACTGTCCTCTAGGAAGAGTTTGGAAAAGCGCAACAGAGGGCTGAGGAGGAAAGGGAAGTTCTTGTGATCATCTGAAGCTTCAGTACAAAATGTTCTTGGCCCCAAATAACCCCAGAGGCAGGATCAGAAACTGAAGGCCATGTCCTTTTAGCTATGATTTTAAAAATACTACATCCAAGATAAGAGCAAGGTCTCTAGATTGTTACACTGAAGTTGTTCTACTGTAGTTTCGCGGTGCTCTAGCTTGTTTGAAATGTGTGCACATTTTGGGCACTTTTTTAAACTTTAATTTTTATTAGTACACGTTTGCAGCGTATGACGATTCCGTTCATTGTGACAAGTTGATACATGTGCATCATACATCTTTCTATTTTTTATTTCCCTTCTCCTCCCCTCTTAGGTAAGAAAGCACGAGGAAATGTTTCACCTAAAAATTGCTGTTATTAGGTGACTTCCTCACCTTATGAGGGTGCCTTAGCTCCAGAAGAAAAAAAGTACTAGATTACTGGGATTCTAACAGAGTGAGAATTAATATAAGTCAAGCATTATCATACTCCTAGTTTTAATCCACAGTCAATCTGTGTGTGCTTACTGACTGACAATTCAGGGGTGTGTCCCTACAGTGATTTAGATCTAGCAACTGGAACTGCACAGGAACCACACCAGTTCCTGTTTCTCACAGTGTTTTGGACGAGACGGGGACATGTTCTTTAGCAAAAGACACTGGTCTTGTTGGTGAGAGAAATAACATATTTTCTTTTTTTTTAATTTTAAAGAGAACAAAAACTAAAAAATGCCGATACAAACGACATAGAATTCAAATCAAGATGATCACAAATTAACAAATGGTTGTTCTAGTATATATCGTTACCTTTAGAGTAGTTGCTCAGATTACTAGATATAGGTATGCAAAATAAATTACATAGCTGCAATAAAATGTTGCATTGAAAATTTAATTTTCCTTTTTGTTTACATTTGTTATATTGTTAGTTTGACTCCATGTTCAAAAAATAGAAGTGCTGTGCATGTAGTTCAGGGACAAGGCACCCTGGGTTCAATACACAGTGAGCATAGATGCCTTAGCAATCTACGGGGAGGGGAAAAGGCTAGCAGCAGTTGGTTTACTTTCTTCAGTTTTCAGGTATTACAGAGGCAATACCCTCCTGAACGGCCATAAGGGACCAACAGCAAGGGGGAAATCACCCGCGGTCCCCCCAACCCCTATCTCACCACCATTGGCATCTGTATCGTTCTTCTGGTCTTTTAAAGAATATTTCAGTTCTGGAGTCTGATATACATAGAGAGGAGTGCCTACAATTTCTATACAGTCATAAAGTGATTACCACACCTAGGTTGCAGCCCTGCGGCAGGGAGCTTGCCTGGCATCCTGCAGCCCCGCATTCACTCTCCAGTGTAACAAAAAATAAAAATAAAAAAGCAAGTGATCAGCGCACCACCAGGACAGGAAACACTGTGGAAAGCTTCCACTTCACCCTTTCTCTGTCCATGCTTGGTCACCACTGCTCTGAGTTTTAAAGCAGCTTGTCCCAAATTTAACACCGCATGCCCCACTGCCACCTGCACAGCCCTAGACCAGGCACTTGAACTATTTTTCTACTTTGTATAAAAGCACTTACAGGGCTGGCCAAATAGCTCAGTGAGCTAAAGCACCTGTTTAGGCACACATAGGGACCAGGGTTTGATCACTGGCATGCCGTGCTGTGCTGGCCCTGCATGGGGGATGCATTGAGACTGTGACTGTGACTGGGCGTGGTGGCGAAGCCTGTAAACCCAGAGCTTGGGATACTGAAAACAGGAGGATCGCTATGAGTCCGATCTGTGTATAGTAAGACCCTGTAGACCTTGTACTAAATACATTAAAAAAAAAGCATTTACAAATGTGTGTTCTTTTGTCCCTTGCTTTAAAAAATCCAATATTATAAGACTCACCTTGTTACTCTATGATATAGTTATAAGACTCACTTTGTTATTTTATGATGTAACTACCTAACAATTTACTTAGTGGGTATTTAGACTGTGTCCAAGTTTTAGACGCTGCACATGAGTAATATTTGTGAGTCTGGAGTGGGTAGCCAGGTATTCCTTTAGGAGTCTAATGGCTTGCCAGAAGCGTGCATTGTGATGCTTTCAGGCTAGGGCTCGTGGTTCAGTGGTGGCACAGTGGATGGGTGTGTGCAAGGCCCTGGGCTTCATCCCCAGTACAGAAGAAGAAGGTGAAGGAGATGAAGGAGAGAAATCACTTCTAGGTCCATGAGACCATGATTTGACACTTGTAGTAATGAAACCCCTCCTGTGGCTGCATCCATTTGTGTAAGGAGTCTCCTTATGTGGTTGCTTCTGTCCTTTTGTGATGCAAATGCCCCCGTGGCTCCTCCTGATGGTCTACAGGTACAGCTGACAGTTCACGGTTTATTCACTGTGATTTATTACTCACTTCCAACAGCTCTGCTTCTTTATATGTCTGATCTACAAGCCGAGCATCCCTAACCCCAAACTCCAATATCTGAGCACCAACTCAGAGCCACAATGGAAACTCCACCCCCGCCCTCATGTGATAGGTGACAAACAAATGCAGGGGCACTAAAATCATGCTACGAAATTACCTTCGACCTGCGTTTACAAGGTGTAGGCATTGAAACTAAGTGGATTTAGGTTCACATGTGGGTTCCCTTCCCATAATATATAATTTTGTATATGCAAAGTTTCCCAAATCTGGGATTCTTCTGAGTCCAGTCATTTCATGTAAGGGATCCTCAGCCGAAACTTAGATTATAAAAAAGAAAAAAGTGCCAACAAACACTTTCGATCACATCTTTATATAAAGGGTAGAGCACTTATATTTTGTAACTTGATTTTTTGGTTAATAAATGTATTCCTTTGCATTCTAATTTGTTTGTCATAGTGATGCAACATCTTAAAACTTATGATAGGTCAAAAAAAATCAGATGCGTGGGGCTGGGATGTAGCTCAGTGGTAGAGCACACATGGGGCTCAGTTTGATCCCTAGACTGGAAAAATACCAGGTATACAATCTCACAAGTTATGGTCTTGTACACAAAGAACTTTTTGCTATTTAAACACTCATTTAAAATAATTTTTGGGGAATTATTTTTTTAAAAAGTGTGACCCATGCTTGCCCTGCCAGGGAATCCTAGAATTCAACTTAATCTTTCTGTCAACCGTTCCAGTTTTAGTGATACAATTCTGTGATCAAACGAAATCAAAATGTCATACTTTCCAAAGTCATCTGATCATTTCCTTCCTGTCTTCTTTGGAAAATAATTGGAGAGATTCCCCACGTGGATTCCCCACCCCTCCACCTCCTCCCCTACCTGGCAGTCAAATCCAACCTTGTTCTGTGCTTTGACCAGGAGCCAAGGTTGCTAAGAGACCACCTGCGGGCATTGCGTTGGGCAGACCCAGCGAAGAGCAGCGAGGTGCTGTCACCTCTGGCCACCCGGAATTCATTCCTTCAGGTGAGAGGGGAGCGCCCTTCTGGGCCTGCTGCCCACCACTCCTGCCAGGCCTGTGCCGCAGAGCTGGGAGGCTGGGCGGAGGAAAGCCCACGCCTAAGGGCGAGGGCGTGGAGGGAAGGAGGGGAGAGGAGGGGGAAGAGAAGGGGGGGAGGAGGGGGAGCTGGGAGGAGCGGGAGGAGGAGGGAGGAGGGGGCACGCAGCTGCAGGACCGCGTGCTGCTCTTGCCTCTTGTTGCTGAAACAAGCAAATGTGTTGAACGTGGCACAGTTCGGATGCTCACTCCGCTAAGGGTTGCTGCGGCGCGTGCGGCAAGCCCTTCCTCCTCTGGAATGGAACAAATTTAACGCCAAGACTAATCAGGACCACTAGACAGTACGAACCTAATTTTTGTGTTTCTCTCTCTTTCTCCTGTCTTAAATCTAAACCTACCTTTTTGATTTTTTGCTTTTGATTTACACTGGAGAGTGAATCTCAGGATGTTTGCACTGAGGTACATCCCCAATATTTTAAAAATTATTATGTTTTAATTTGAGACAGGCTCGCTAAGTACTCAGTTGCCCAGGCTGGGCTTGAATTTACAGTCCCTCCTGCCACCAATTACAGATGTTATCACTAAGCCTCACTTTATTTTGATTTTAAGTGAAAACAGACAAAATATGCTACTATTCAAATATTGCAACTTTTACCAATATTGACATTTGGATCCTTTGCATGTAAGGAACTTCCGTGAACAGCTTTGAAAATTGCATATTTTCCATTGCATTTCCTGAAGAGGAGGTTAAGAATAATCTAAACTCCCCAACTGATAGACGCACAGTCAGATGTTCTGACGCTGTAGAGCACAGGCCACAAAATAAAACATTAAAAAATTCTAGGGGCTGGGGAGATGGCTCAGTGGAATAAGCACTTCCCTGGCAAGCGCAAGGGCCTGAATTCAATCCCTGGTTCCACAAAAAAA